ACTTAGCGAGCAAGTACCGAGCACCGATTCACGTACAATCGAAACCAACGAAATTTCGAAAATTCCGTTACAATTTCCACCCGCCCTATATATAGCCAACGTCAGACGAGGGTGTTACAATCGAGATTTTATAAGTAGCAACAAAAGAATTAAAAGAGACGCGTTTAAAAATAAATAATTGATCTCAACAAAACCAACACAAGATCATATGTATATATAGGAAAGATAACATTGAACTTTCTCATGTGACAAATATGAATAATTTTCTACAACCATAGGAAGAATATCAAATTATGTGTGTTCAAATGAGTAACACACAATAATTGATTTATTTCATATAGACAAAAGCCTTCATGGCTAATTTAATAATCCACCCTATTTTTATATAAGGAATGAACTCAAACGAATCCCATAATTCCATTTATATAATATATAGATACGGAAAATACAGAAATCATATGCTACACCCGGTTATTTATACCGAGTGAATTTGAACCCAGGATAATCTACACATAATCACACACACACACCAATGTGTGTGTGCACGCGCTTAGCTGTTCAAAATACACACGGTATAAACAACCAGGTGTAGCATGTAATTACATGTGAAAATAGGTATATAAGTTTGGAAAGTTTTTTTTTAGTCCTTATGAATATTAATATCATAATATACGAAAAATTAACTAAATATAAACGTATAATGGAATATAATTATATATATTAAATATAATTTAGAAATTAATTTGATTGGATTAATTCCTGTTGAGAAGTTCTTCGATCATTTGCAGTGCAATCCTTTCCTCTTCATCAATCCCACCCCTCATCATACCGAAGGATTCTGCCGGAGATGCCGCCAGAGGCGGCGGCGGCGGCGGTGGCAGTTCATGGTCGTGATCCATGGTTGACGACGGGATATTCTGATCGGCGTTCTTTTTCTTGCCAAGCTCAACGGTCATGACCCAGTTGGATTCCGACCCGGATCCGGCCCGTTTCTGCCACACACCAATGTGCGAATTCTCCGTATCTAGCCGGAGGCAAGTGAGAGACGGCGACGGAGATTTGCAGCACTTCCGAAGCTTGGCGCTGAGAATCGACGAGAGAGAAGTCGCTCTCGCGTTGGCCGCCGCCGCAGCCGCAGAGGCGGCGGCGGTGGAAGATGATGAGGAAGATGACGGAGAAATATTATCGTTACCGTTACCGTCAACATCCCGGGTAACCGGCACCGGAAAGTTGGTCTTGGCGTTTCTACCGCTCATAAGAATTGCCGCCTCGTCGTACGCCCTCGCCGCCTCCTCCGCCGTCTCGAAAGTCCCCAGCCACACCCTCCTCTTCCTGTCACACACACACAAAAAAAAAAAAAAATAGGGTTTCGTATTATAATAACACCGAAAAAAGTACGTACATGCTGATCGATATATATATGTAACGAATGGGTTTTTTCGTTGCAACTTGCAGATGATATAATATAGTGTGTGTATGTGTGTGTAAATAATGTGAATGCACAGAGGAATTAAATGAAGAAGAGAGAAGTATTTACAGGAGAGGGTGTCGTATCTCTGACACCCAAGAACCCCAGTGCCGCTGTCGGACACCTCTATATTTTTTCTTTAGTACCATTTTTGTTTTTTTTTTAATTTGTCGTCTGCAGAAAAAAAACTCTGATGAAGGAATGAGAATGAATCTTTGATTTATAATCTAAATTAAAAGGCTGCAGTATGATTTAGTCTGAAAGATACCTCGCATTTGCAGTATGATTTATAGTACTTACTTGATCATCTTTATAATTAAGAGGGAGAGAGAGAATGGAAGTAATAGAGAGAGAAAGTAGGAGAGAGAGAGAGGGGCCTAGGTATTTCTGGTGCAGTGGTCCAGTGTGCAGTTCCGTGCAGTTGGGCCATGGCTACTTATAGAGAGCCACAGTTTGTGGGTTCGTTGTATAAACACGATTTTAAGTAGAGAGCCATTTTTGTTTACATGCATGTGAATAGTCAAAACATTTGCCTACCTATATATATATATATGATCTACCCTTTTCCACTACATATTTAGGTTAAAAAACTTTGCCCTAATTCAGTAATTTAAAGATTCGTACTTGCTATTGTATATTATATATATACACATGTGGATTACGTCTCTCGTATGGTTTACAAGCTATTATACGAGAGTGTAGGTTTATCTAGTGCACATATATGGTTGGTTGCGGACTCTTTCATTACTCAAAAAAATAAAAAAGGAATGTGTTAAACGCTCATTGGACGCAATTTCATTAACAATTAGGACGATTATATTTTTTTGTTTCGATAAAAGTCTCGCTTGTTTATTTTACGAAAATATCCTCATTGTTTTATTAGCTAAAAGTCTCTAGGGACGGGGTATGCGTGTTTGTGAGAAGTTCGTGCGAGCCAATTCTATGAGCAATGACGGGCTCGCCCTAGACATAAACCCCGGGGTTTAAAAGAGTGGAGCTCGAGCCAAGACTGGCAAATTTCATGAGGTTGACACGAATTTGATGCGCTTCAGTTCTAACTATCGAACTATTCAGATTTTTAACGTGTAGTCCAAATTATTTATTTAAAAAAATCTTGATATTCCAATTAATTCTATACTAATTCAATTTCACAACATTTTTCGATATGTTCCAGGCAGCCATCGACGTCAAATTATATAATCGAACATATTTTTTTCTATAAGAAGCGACGATGGGTTAGCAAACTACGACCACCTTAATTAATTAGTGCGGTAGGATTAATTTACATAATTATTTCACTAAATAAAAACGTGGTCCAGTTGAGGAATTAAATGCCTATCTATATTAATTACGCAGTTTTAACTGTCAAATAAACATTGTATTATTGGTCCATGAGTTAGATTAGATACATATAGCCTGCTAAAATATTATGGATCTTGTTGTAACTAATTAATTGCTAAAATGGAAATTAAATGATTAAATATATCTACGGTTGGATGTGAGTAGTGTATCTACTAATGATTATTTTGTGCCGTTGATCTTAGGTCTAAGCAGACAGTCTTGACCTAGATTTTTGGTTTAAGGTAGCCCTAGAGTTCAAGAAAGGTTTAATGTGTGATTAGAAAATTGTGATTTGAATGTAATAATAGAGTAATTATGATTGTAAACCTTAATATTTGACTCTAATGCGTAGGCTTTGATTGGTGCAAGACTGTTGACTGGTCTTCTTCTCCCTTTTTTTTTTTTTTTTTTTTTGAGATTTTATTTAATTAATTATCGGTCTAGTTTGTAAATTTAATCGTCGTTTTTAAAATTAAAATTGGTTATGTTTAATTTAGGCGTACATGATCAATGCTCGATCGATGAATGTGATCAACAATATGATATATCTAGCATTTTCTAATAAAAAATACTTTGTATGTTCTAAAATAAGTGTCACTTTTGCGCACGTATAAATAAAACTAATACAATATACGTGAATTTTAGGGGGGAAAAACCATGTAATGCGACTAAAATACTCGTGTCACTAATTTTGTTTCCATTAATTATATTTCAACTAATTAGTAGTAATAAGGCAAAATTGAGACAATAATAATTAAAGCATTATTATATCTGAAGTGAAGTGACGGATAATATAGAACAAGAAAAAATGTACCGACATTTAATTTGAGAAGAAGGGAATATATATTACTCCATATAGATATGTACTGGGGTGTATAACAGCATTCCAAAGAAGCTTGTGCCCAGCTCAGTAGCGCAAACCTTTCCTCTTTTTTTTTTTTTTTTTTTTTTTTTTTTTTTTTTTTTTTTTC